TAGGGTGTAGGGTTTAGGGGTTCTCACCTGGAACCCCAAACACTAAAACACTGAACCTGCAATCCTCAACTCGAGGAAGAACTTGGGAAGAGCGCGCATCCTATCTGCCCAGACCTTCCAATATCTTTTAATTCAGGAACAATATACCGATATACCTACTTAAATCATATTAATATTAGGGATCCTACTTCAATTTACTGTATATTCATAAGGGCCCTGACGGCTTTAGAGTTGGAAAGCCAGTGGCAAAGCCGATGGCATACGGGGCGGAGCACTGCAAATGAGGGATTGGTTTAGGGGTTCGGGGTTCGGGGTCTATAAGGACTAAAGGGTGTATAGGGTTTAGGAAGTAGTATATTCAGGCTATTCGGGACTTCAAACAAGTCCTGCGATTCCGCTGGCTCACAAACTGCTCCGGGGTACAGAGCTTTAGGATTTATGGTATATGGGCTTAGGGTTTTGGGTTTTGGGGTTCATGGTGGTGGCGAACGTCTGTCAGCTGCTCTGGCCTCCGGGAAGGTAAGAAAGTGTCGAGTTGTGGGATGTAGCTGTGGATCCGAAGCCTACTGTTTTGAAGGCTAGGTCCTTTAAGAAAGGGATCGTAAACAACTATATTGTGGCTTTGGGGTCAAAGGTAGCCGACAACCAATAGCTTCAACCCACCCGGCTAGGTCGCAACCGGAAGCGGCACATCAGCACAGTTCTCTATCTGTGTGGGTTTACGTTGTTTTAGGGGATAAACAATATGATCAGCAAGGGCTATTCTTCTTGTGACTATTCATAGGATGGTCCCTAGGACCAGTGAGATGCATTGCACCTCTGACACTTGCGAACTTTGCAGGTCCAAACAAAAGCCAACCACCAACCACCCAGTACCTGCCCGTCGAGCCCCAACTAGAAGAAGCCGACGGTCCGTGGAAGGCAAATTTAAAGGCTTACATAAGCCATTCATAAGCCTTTACGAAAGCTTTGCCATATAGGTTTAGTGCTGAGGGGCTTCGGATGTGTGTGTGTGTGTGTGTGTGTCTTTGCAGTGGCATGTATAGTGCATACATAAAGCAGCTGGACTTCGGCTTCTACAGCCCGCATACTAGCAAATCATGCCCGACAATGGTCTAATGCACTCCTAAACCCTTCTTCTAGTCAGTAAGGCACTACCACCACTACTACGACCTCTACTACTACTGCTACTACTACTGCTATTACTACTACTACTACTAGAACTAGTACTACTACTACTACTACTACTACTACTACTGCTACTACTACTACTACTACTACTACTACTACTAGTAGTAGTAGTAGTAGTAGTAGTAGTAGTACAACAACTACTACTACTACTACTACTACTACTACTCCAAGACGACGACTACTACTACTGCCGGGCATCGTTTGCTTGTGATTAGAAATGGCTTGATCTTCCCTAAGCCTGAAACCCTAACTCCTCAACTCCCAACCCTTTAGTGTTTCGAGTCTAGGGTTTGAGAAAAGATTGGAACCTCCCAGCTGGCACCGGGGGGGTCACTTCACGACCTCCTCCATCTCAAGCGAGTCGCTCTCGGGGAGGCGGGGTTGACCGGATGGTTGTTGCATATTATATATATATATACACACATAGATGTATATATATATATATATATGTGTATATAATCAGATTCAAATATACATTATATATATATATACACATACACTATTGTATAGGAAAATAGAAACCTTTCGTAATATGGCATAGAAGTATATGTATACATATATATATACATACGCATATGCATACATGTATCCTTCAAGGCATTTCGGTAACAGGGGTTAGAAGCTGTTGTTTGTTTGTGCTTCGTGTTTGCCTTCGTTGAAGCTTGGGAAGTGCTAGAGCGGCTTCAAAGAATGTGTGTTGTTTGTTGTAGGGTTGTTCAACCGATCTTCATATGCTTCAAATGTTATTGCAGGGTTTGGGTTTTGGTTTCAAGCCGTTATAAGTTACAAGTTATAAGGCCTCGGAAGCTTGTTTTAACGCTTTGTTGAAGCTTTGCAAGGTCGAGAGATGTTTTCAAGGGTGTAGGCCCCTAAACCCTAAACCCTTAAACCCATGTGAGGGGTGTTGTGGTTGAGGCTTTCTCGTGGAAGGGGTTGGGGGGGGTTAGGGCTGTGGGGTTTGCGTTGCAGAGGTTCGGGCTTTGGGCTTTTGTGTGTTGAGCCCTGTTCTGTGCTCTGTTTGTTGCTTTTCTTGGGGGAGGGGGAGACGTTGAGGGCAGGGTTTGGGTTTAGGGTCTTGGGTTCAAGGCCAGCACGCTCAAAGTTGGGAAAATCTCAAACCTCGTTGCTATATGTGTCCTGGAACTTGTTTCAGGCATCAGTTTTGTGAACCGCAGAACTTAGAGGATCAGAAAGCAGCCCCTTGTGCCTGCAAGATTCCGAGAATTCTTTGCTCTTTGTTACGCAGCGTGTTCGCCTCTCATGCAGCGGGCGTTCTACGAGGTTTCTAGTAGGGGGTGGGGCGTATGTTGAGCTGAGCAGTACTCCAAAGCTTGCTAGCCGACCACCTAGCCGGCACATCCCGCAAACATGTTGGCCAAACGGCCAAACAACCCTGAAAAAGTCCTAAACGCTTGCCTTAGCTGAACCGCACCTGCACCGGGCGCTCCTGTGGCAAGATGGTGCGGTCCATGGCATGGCGGGTGCACCTCTCAGCCTGCGCTGGCCAACGGCACCGGCCACGCTACCCGATGCTGGGCTCTTGATTAGCTACCGGGATAAGCTTACCGCTAGTCTGTTACTCTGCTTCTCCTTGTAACTATGGTGTTTTTAAGTTACCCTAAGGGTCCATGTNNCCTAAAGTACCCAAATAGGGACTACAAGGCCAATGTTCTACTATTTGGGTACATGGACCCTTAGGGTTACCTTCCTCAACAAGAGCACAGGATGCGAGCTCAAGGCTTACCTGTGCGCGGGTACACCCGTGGTTGGCCAGGGAAGAGCCTTGGCTCTGTGCGATTGAGTTAGGGCTTAATAACAGTTAGGGGAAGGGATTTGGTCTTTAGGGGTTAATGCTTAATAACACTTAGGGGAAGGGATTTAGTCTTTAGGGCTTATTGCTTAATAACACTTAGGGGAAGGGATTTAGTCTTTAGGAGTTATTGCTTGATAACACTTAGGGTAAGGGATTTAGTCTTTAGGGGTTATTGCTGAATAACAGTTAGGGGAAGGGATTTAGTCTTTAGGGGTTATTGCTGAATAACAGTTAGGGGAAGGGATTTAGTCTTTAGGGGTTATTGCTTCATAACAGTTAGGGGAAGGGATTTAGTCTTTAGGGGGTCAATTAGGGTTCAGCATCACAGAGCCAGCTCCGATTTGTGTAATGGTGTTGATATGGATGTCCTCGTCGGTATCAGACAAGGTTGGCATTCCCCAAGCGTGCTGGATTGCCTGAGGCTACCTATCCTACCTATCCCGGTGTGCAGGCAATGCGTCGCAATGAATGAAAATTGCTTGGCGAATACACAACTAGCAAGCACATACACAAGTTGTAAAAACAACCCTGGGATAGCACGGAGTTCTATGATTTACAGCGAGCCCCAATTATCACCGGGAGCGTGCAGGCTGTGAAAAGGACTGGAGGAAAAATCTCGCATGCGAGTGTCTCCAGTGCAGTTTGGTTTCTTCCAAGATAGCTACGCTAAGTATTTGGGTTCCGTGTTTTGCCTATTAAGAAGAAGCAACAGATATCGCTGCAGGACTGGCAGGACTTTCTTTGCAGCCTCTCCTTGCGAAAGAATAACAGAGAGTTGCAACCGGACGCAACCAGACAGATGCTGGTCTGCAAGATTCCGCGACCTGCTAAACCCTAAACCCTAAACCCTAAACCGCTTTCTAGTCTGGTGACGTTCAGCTTTTCACTTCCGGCCTTAAACCCTAAACCCTAAACCGCTTTCTAGTCTGGTGACGTTCAGCTTTTCACTTCCGGCCTTTTAATTCATTCGGTCTGGCCCTTTTTCTGTTAAGACCTCACACCTCCTCCGGGCTTGCTAAATCCTTCTTTTGGCCCCGTAAGCCAAAATCACGATTTATCAATATCGCTGTCATCAGTTATGATCACCCTCATGGTTATCATTGTCAGCCTCACCATCACTATAATTGTCGCTTTCATTGACTTACCATCAACATTGCCATTACCACTGCCACCTTTATCATTATTATGACCTTTCTTATGTTGACGCTGACTATGAACATACTTACATACGTACATGCGTACATACATA